ATACACTCATACATATATGTGTACATAAATATATTCTATGAAGGCATATTTTAAAATACACTGCAACATTTTATTAACTAGATACTTAGAGCATGAAATAGTTAATTATTAAAAAACACTTGTTTCTCAGAAACAAAGCCATGGGATCCTGTATTCCTAATGCCATCTTATTATTTTTTTCTGATCCCCAATTTTGTTGTGATTCAATAACTTGCTACCAAAAGGTATTTAGAAACTGGTTATTAAGTTGAAACTAGAGAAGGTTGGTTTGGCGTAAACTTAGATATAGATTTTTTTCTTGCATCATTTCAATTTATAAATTAGAAAACAAAAAGTTTTAAACCAAAAAAAAAAAAAAGTGTTAAGAAGAGGTCTGAATACAACTTGTATTGCAAATTGCTATTAGGATGATGAGCAATTATAAAACATTTCTAAAACTGCTTTATTTATAAAAACAAAATTTATCATTAGTAAAAGTTTAATSCTTAAAAATAAATTTGTTACAAAATACATAAATACATTTAAAGGTCTTGTAATATACTTCGGTAAATCCTCTAATTTAACATCTTGCAAAAAAATACTAATGTTAATAATAATTTTAAAAAGTGAATTGAGAAACATAGCATGGAAAATCTGACACTTTTTTGTCAAATTTCAGAGAATATTTCAAGTTTACATTTGTGAGAGAAGAGGTGTCCAGAAAAATGAGAAAAAGGCAGAAAACATTTAAAATAATTAATATATAGTATTTTGGCAATATTATTTACCTTTCTTTTTGAAAAAATCATTCTGAAAATGAATGCAATTTTTTAAATGGGAATATAACAAACTCTCCTAAAGGAAGGAAAATTTAATAAGGATAGCTTTCAAATCAACAGTCTTAAGATGGATCTGTATTACAACATGTTTTCCCCAACTGGATTTCTTCACCACATACCATGACATTTTCTAGTGGTGGTGGAGGTGATGGGAGGGGTGAGAAACTATGCAGTTTAAGGAAAAAGAAGCATTTTCCCAACTGCAGTTGTTGCCACTCCTTTGATTTTTAAGTTATCTCAGGGCCAGTAAGTATACACTCTTAATACATGAAACAAAATAAAAAACTATACTTGGAATGTATTCTTTGTTTCTTCTTTCTTCAAAGCCTATGCTTCCTAATATCATTGTTAGGTAAAGCAAAAAGAAATGTTTGTTCTATTACGTAAGAAATAAACTTCATTTGGTATTCAATTGACTTTCTAACTTAGCAGACAGGACTTTACATCTTCAAATACTGAAAATAAATTGCATTCTTGGCCCTTGCTTTAAAAGGTTATAGAGAATAAACGCACACCCTGGTAGTGTTCTAGTGATCTCCCTAATCTCAGTTGCACTTTGTCAGAACGAGGTAACTGGTAGTTAAGTGAAATACCCTAGATCAAAGGGGGATTAATCACCAACTGAATCCTTGCTGAATAAACCTGTCATTCAAGAAAATTATTTCCACTGAACTTAGCAGAGGATTGAAGGTATTTGCATAACAGGGACCAACGTACTTCAGCCAGGTTAAAAGGTTCAGAATTCATCCCATGTTTAGCTTTTTGCCTCCTTTTCCTTTCAGCAGCCTGGTACAATGGTTTCTAATCTGATAATACAGCTAACTATCTAAATGATGTCAGAACAGGAAAGTATTGCAAAGTTTGGATGAGGGATGGATCAATTTCACTTTCAGTAACTCCTAAATCTGATTTGTTGGAATTTAAGATGTAATCCTAAAAAAGTCCCTTAAACCTGAGGACTGTTTATTAACATCCCTTTTTTGACCTTTGTCTTAGGAACAACTATTCTGCTGTGGCAGCAGTCCCTGAAGGTTTTGGATAATTCCACTTACCTACTTCCCAGTGGTAGCAGAGAAATCTATGAATGTATATGAAGTATTAAAAATACTAAAACCAAAATGAGAAGACAAATATTAACACTTTTTTACTATGCACAATGTCTGCTGTTAAAAATCTTAAATCACACAATGTGTAAGACTATAATAATTTAAATATAGTGGAAGTATTGAGTTGTCATGAAAAATTTTAAATATTTTATTAGGCAGAAAGTTTAATAAAAATAAAAAAACATTCTCATAAGAATTCCTGATGAGCCTATTTACTTCAAACTTGAGTTGATTATTTTAAWCGTATAAAATACCACCAGGATATTGCCTAACTTCAATATTGCTGACTTTAAAAAGTTTTAAAATATTGTTTAGTAAGAAAAGTTTTTACCAAAATCACGAACCATCTTTTCTGGAGTTCATTTTCAGAAATTTAGCTATTTTTCCTTTTGCCTTTGGGATTTGGGGAAGAATAATTACCCATATGATAGACATCAGATTTCATAATCATATTTTGGCACTAAAAGGGAATTTAGAAATTTTCCACCTAGAGCAGGACTGACACCATCCAAATCTTTCACTAGAAGTAGTTGCTCATATTCACTGCAAATGCAAAGCATCTTTCCAGTTAAAAAATGCAAAGAATAGTTATCAAAGAAAATGAATAAAATCCGTAGTGAGATAATTTTTTAGAAAATGATTGAAGTTTTAACCCAAGAAAGGACTCTTAGAGTGTCTTATAGCTTAGAATAAGAACATGTCAATCACGATTAAGCTTCTGGAATCGGAATCCCTTTGAAATGCAGCTGTTTCTTCTTTAATTGTGGCAGCGGACTCTGAAGAAAAGAAAGGTCCAGCCTTAAAGATGAGTAAGGAATACAAAATAGCTCAGGATTAGTTGCGGAGTTCAAAGGTCGCTAATTACACTAAGGAGTTCCCAGACACAGGGAAAACATTAAACAGGTCACCTACCAAACGGGAAACAGACTTTGTCTTCAGAAATTATCCTGAAGTGACAGGTTCCTAGACAAAATCAAAAGCATCATAGTGTGCCCAGCTGATCTTGAAGGGATGAAAACATGAGTTGGTTTAGTTCTGTAGTCTTGCTGGAATGGAATGGCAACAGATGGCATGGGGTTCTCCATCATCTCTATACTTTTCCAGTACTCCTCAGATTTTCCTTAGTTTTCTATAAATGTCAAATCAAAGTCTATTGGTTTTTCTAATTTGTTCACGAAGAAAGTTTTGCTTAAGGAATTATTATGTTGAATCTCTGCCTACTCACTAGATAAATGCCTCTTGCCTACCTTAGTGTACTTTGCTAATAAGCATTTGAATAATCGAAATTTCCAAATGGCTCTATTAGCACAGGTACAACATTAAGCCTTGAGTTGAAGAGATATAAATAACTTATGGGGAAATGTTCTTTCAAAAGGAAAGTTTTTACTACTGATTATCTATGATTAAGCTACAATAATAAGTTAAAGTCCTGGTCAGACAGTTATTCTTCTTTGTTACTTGGGATAATTTTGAACATAGAACTTTATGTATGATAATGCTTTGCAGAAAATGAAGGTTTATAATGAGCAGGATTGACCTTAATTAAAAAATCAAACTTCAAATCCTAAGTTCATATGCACTATCCCTTCAAATTATTATAGCTCTCTTTTGAGGAGTTAGCAGCTTTTTCTAAGCCTTTTCTGAGAAGATTCATTAAAAAACAGTACCCAGAAAATAGTTGAATTGAATATTAATCTGTAATGCATATTTTTTATAATGCTTTTAAATTCTATTCTGTAAAAGAACTTTGACATGAACTAAGTTCTTAGGRTCTTAAGATTACTTTTTTCTTGGTCACTTGGAGTCCAACTTGACAATGAACTGCTCTGAAAACAGAATGTGACATCTAATTATAGAAACAGGTAGAGAATAAAGAATATGGCTAATGGTTTCTGAAAAAATAAAAAAAAATTATAATAAGAAAATTAGAAAGACAAATTTAAAGAAAATACACTATTATGTAAGAATAAGAGTAAATAATACTCTACCCACAGAAAGGTTTTTGAGTTTTTACATGAATTTATTCATTAATGGATTTTAATTTAGTAAAATAAGGAAAAAGCAATATTATATCTACCTTTATCTTCAGAAATTGGCTGAAGACATTATATAATTGCAAAACATTACATTATTCTGCAGGTATCCCACCAATCTT